GGCTGCTCACTGCGGCTGCTGGCTGCTCACGCTGACTGCTGGCCAAAGGGGCTGCAGCCTACGCTGCTGCCAGCTACTCACGGCAGCCCAGCTCCAGGTTGAGCTGTTGTTCAGCATCTTAGCTGTAGAGGGCAGTGTCACTGGCCCTCTGGCGTCCCAAGCCAGCTCTTAACCAACGCACCACGTGGCCGGCCCTAGCCTATTCTTACTGATACAAAAATTTACAGCCTGGATGGAAAATCCATCTGAATTTCTAATTCCTTAAATTGTAAAATTAGAATGTTGATTTGAGACCTTTCTATTTTAATGTGTTTATAGCTATACTTTCCCCTTTACCACTGCTTTCACTGCATCCCATAAATTGTGGTATGTTGTGTTTTTGTTTTCATTAATTTCTAAGTCCTTTTAATTTCCTTTGTGATATCTTCTTTGACTCATTAATAGTATATTGTTTCTTTCCACAGATTTGTAAAATTCCCAGTTTGCCTCCTATAATTGGTTCAAACTCCATCCCATTGTGGTCAGAAAAGATACTTGGCATAATTGTTTAAAATCTATTGAAACTTAATTTGTGGCCTAATATATGCTCTATTCTAGAGAATATTCCATGTACACTTGAGAAAAATGTATAGTTCTGTTGTTGTTGGGTGGAGTGTTCTGTTCATATCTCTTAGATCTATCAATTTATTGCGTTGTTCAAGTACTCTATTTTCTTACTGAACCTCTGGTTGTTGTATCCATTCTTAAAAATGGCATTTTGAAATCTCCAACTATTTTATTATAAGACTGTTTATTTCTCCCTTAAATTCTGTCATTTTTTGTTTCATATCTTTAATAATCTGTTATTAGGTGTGTAAATGTTTATAATTGTTATATCTTCTTGTTGTATTGAACTTTTTATTAATACATAATGTCTTTCTTTTTCTATTGTAACTTTTTTTGGATTTAAAGTTTTGTTTTGGTTTGGTTTTGTCTAATGGTGGTATAACTGCTCCTGCTTTTTCTGGTTACTATTTGCATGGAATATCTTTCCCATCTTTTCACTTTCAACCTGTTTGTATCTTTGTATTTAAAGTGAGTCTCTTATAGACAATGTATCTGACTGTCTATAGTTGGATCATATTTTAAAAATTCATCCTGCCAATCTCTGTCTTTTGATCAGAGAGTTTAACCCATTTACCTTTAAAGTAATTACTGATAAGGAGGGATTTACCTCTGACATTTTGCTATTAATTTCCTATATGCCTTATAACTTTTATCTCTCATTTCCTGCATTTCTGTCTTTTTTGTGTGTTTTGTTGATTTTTTTGCAGTAAATTATTTTAATTACTTTCTCATTTCCATATGCGTATATTGTTCATTTATTTTCTTTTTTTAAAAGATTTTTATTGGGGAATTGGGGGGGATGGGAACAGTGCTGGGGAATTGGGAGGAAGGGGAACAGACAAGTTGCTGTCGTTTTTGTTCTTCAGTCTAGTTGTGGAGGACATTGCTTCACTGGCCCAAGTTGGCACCATCATTGCGCTCTTCCCGGGCGAGGCAGATCAGTCGCCGGCTTCTGGACGGCCGCTCACTGCAGCTGCTGGCCGCTCACGCTGGCTGCTGGCTACACACGGCAGCCCATGGCAACCCACTGCCACAGGGGCTGCAGCCTCTGCCGTCGCCGGCGACTCACGGCTGCCCAGCTCCAGGTTGAGCTGTTGTTCAGCATCTTAGCTGTAGAGGGCAGTGTCACTGGCCCTCATATGTGGGATCCGAACCGGGGCCCTCTGGCGTCCCAAGCCAGTTCTTAACCATCGCGCCACTCGGCCGGCCCGTTCATTTATTTTCTTAATGGTTACCATGGGGATTGCATTTAACATCCTAAAGTTATAACATTCTAATTTGAATTTATACCAGTTTGACTTCAATAACACACAAAACCTGCTCCTATACAGCTGCATCCCCATCTCATTTCAGTTATTTATGCCACAAAATTACATCTTTATACATTGTGTGACCAAAACTATAGATGATTGTTTTTAAAAATGTATTGGTCTCTTCAATTATATAGAAAACAAAATGTGGAGTTACAAACCAAAGCTACAATAATACTAGCTTTTAGACTAATCGTTTTCAAAAAATGCTTTAAAAACTAATAGTTTTTTAAAATAGTTTTTAAATCATGTAGAAAATAAAAACAGGAGTTACACACCATTGTTACAATAATACTAGCTTTCATAATTCATGTATTTACCATTACCGAGATCTTTTATTCTTCATACAACTTCAAGTTTCTGTCTAATGTCCTTTTATTTCAACCTGCAGGAATCCCTTTAGCATTTTTTTCAGGGCAGTTCTAGTGGTAATGAACTCTCTTAGGTTTTGTTTATCTGGGAATATCTTGATTTCTCCCTCACTTTTGCAAGACAGTTTTGCCACATATAGAATTCTTAGTTGACATTCTCCCCCCCCCCAGTGCTTTAATCTATCAGTCTACTGCCTTCTGGCCTCCAAAGTTTCTGATGAGAAATCTGGTTGAGGATCACTAGTATGTGCTGATTCACTTTTTTCTTGCTGCTTTCAAGACTCTTTTTGTGTTCGTCTTTTGATGGTTTGATTATAATGTCTTGGTATGGGTCTCTTTGAGTTCATCTTACTTGGAGTTTGTTGAGGTTCTGCAATATTTATATTCATGTCTTTCATAAAATTTGGGAACTTTTCAGCCATTATTTCTTCAAATAATCTCTCTGACACTTTCTTTCTCTCTTCTTCTGGCCTTCCCATGATGGTATGTTGGTAAGCTTGACTGTTTTCCACAGGCTCCTTAGGCTCTTTTCACTTTCATCTTTTTTCTTTTTGTTTCTCAGACTCAGTAACTTCAATTGTCCTATTTTAAAGTTTTCTGATTCACTTTTCTGCCTGCTCAAACCTACCTTTGAATGCCTCTAGTGAATTTTTCATTTTAGTCAGTTCCAGGATTTCCTTTTGGTTTCTTTTTACATATTCTTCTTATTGATAGTTCCATTTTGTTCATACATCATTTTCTTGACTTTCTCAATGTCTTCCTTTAGTTATTTGAGCATCTTTAAGAGAGCTACTTTAAAGTCTTTGTCTAGTAAGTCTGCCATCTGGTCTTTCTCTGGAACATTTTTTTTTCTTTGAATGGGCCATACTTTCATCTTTCTTTGATTGCCTTGTGATTTTTATGTTGGAAACTAGACAAATTAATCTATTAATATAGTAATTCTGGAAATCAGAATCTTCTCCTTTCCCAGTGTTGGCTGTTATTTTACTTTTATTGCTATAGGCTATCTCTGTCCCAGGGATCAGCCTGAGATCTTAAGGTCTTAAGAACTTCTTAGGGCATGTGTGGTTGCTTCCTTAATTCTCGTGTATGCAGTTGCTTTTGAGTGTCCTACATCTTAAATGTTTGACTCCCAAAAGAGGAAATAGAGAAAAATGAAGTGGGGGTGGGGTGGGGGTGGGGAGGGACGGCACTAATCTTTAAATCCCTTGGGAGTTGCTTCAGCCATAGGTGGAGGGGCTTTCAGAATGGGAGGGGGTCAACAATGGCTGCCTGCCTCTGTGCTTGAGCTTCTGAGACTAGAAGCTGCAATCAACAGAGCACTATCCCCAATATTTGGGGGATGAGGTCTTACTGCTCACCCTTGCTCCTGCAAGCTGCATGTGAGCTGCTCCTGGAATGAGTGCACAGCTTCCTGTCATGGGATTAGAGGGATACAAGGTATGGTTTGGTGTTCTATATATTTCAAGTATGCTCCTGTATCTTTGCAACAGATTTAGAAGTGACTAGATGGAATGTAAGGACATATCACAGAGTGAGGCAGCCATTCAACCATTTTTCTATTGTTGGATTTTTAGGCTGTTCTAATGTTTCACTACTGATAGCAATGCTGCAAGGCACAAGCTTATGCATTCGTATTTGACTGTACTTCTCAGTCACTTCTTAGGATAGATTCTGGGAAGTGAAAATTCCTGAGCAATTTCCAAGGGTTTGAGGCTTTAAAAGACCCAAATATTATTCAAAAAGCACTAGGTTTCTCTGTACCTGAGTTGTCCTTATTGAATACTGCAAAGGAGGACAATTCTGTCTGAAGGGTACCCCTGTTTCCTTGGGCTGGCGGGGAAAGACACTTTGCAAAGTGTGCTTCCAGGGAGAGACAGAAGGTGACCTCCAACACTTGCTTGGTCTGTATTAATGTTTAGAATACATGTTCCAGGAGGCAAATCCTTCAACCGACTCAGTTGGCTTTTCACGATGCTTGGCCAACCCTAGAAGCAGGTGAACAAATAAGCAACAGCTTTGAAATAGTGACCCTGGTGGTTTTGGGTAGGAAGCTGGGGAGGGAGGGAGCATAGGCTGTGGCAACCCCAGGAGGAAGGTCAAGCTGGGCTGTGTGCTCTCTGAGCCTCCGCCTTCCTCCTTTGAGTCTTTAGTATACTTCTACTTTTGACTTCTCTTTTTCTGTCCTTGCTAGCTTGGTGGCATCCTTGAAGTGGCTCGGTAGTGCATACAGCGGTGGGAATCCTGCTCCCTTCAGCCATGACTCACAGAGTCCTTCTGTTAACAGGTGGGCCAGGGGCCTGAGGGTGTGGTTTAGGATGAGGAGGAGGGAAACTTTTGAGACTGTGAGTAGAGAGAAAAGGTGTAGAATATCTAGGAGTTAGACTGGGGAGAGAGAAAGGAGATTTGGGGAAGGATAAAGGAGTCCTGAAGAAACACAGAAGCGAGAGTAGAGCTCTACCAAGATGGGATGACCAGGGAAGCCTGGGTGACTGACTAAATTCATGGATGATGCGAGGGGGCTCAACCGGCCCCTTCATGTCACAGATGAGGAAACTGAGGCTTAGAGAGATGAAACGACATGCCACAGGGAACACAGCAGGTACTGGATTCTTTTCTGAGTTTTTATTTTGGGGTTCCATGCCGACATTGCCTCCATTTCTATTTTCCAAGGACCATGGTATAAATGCTTTTTGAATGACTGACCACTCAAAATGATATGATTTTTTCCTTATATACCTGTGTCTTGTGGTGAATGAGCCAAAGAAGGGAAAGAAATGCTTGAGAGTGGCACAGGAAGGAAATTGCCTAATCAAGAGGGTTTAGGAACTTGATTGTTGGGCAAATCAGCAGGGTGGAGCTTGGCAGGGGCCTGGAAGCACCCTGTGTTGGTAGTCCTCATGACAGTGGTAAGTGGTGGGTGCGCTGTGGCCTATGGGCATGAGGCAAAGATTGCATCATCTGTTTCTGTACAGCCTGGGAGCAGCCATAGGCTGCAGATGCACACCTGTAATCAATTCATGATTGGGCACACTAATTTGGAATTCCAATGAAGTGAAATGTTAGATCTCCCCCAAAGAATTCCATCTGTCTTATTAGCAAATTTGTATTACAAAAGAAGTATACTCGATTATTATATTTTGAATTTCCTTAATGACAAATTTGTGGAAACACATTTTCTCTTGCTATATTAAGTCCCTTTGTCATCAACTCTATTTGCCTGTTGGCCCACAAGGTCTAAAGTATCTACTGTCTGGCCCTTTAGAGAAAAAGTGTGCTGACCTCTGCCCCAGGCCATCGGAGCTGGATCTGGGAAGCAGATATCTCTTTGCTGGGTTAGGGTGGATCCCAGCAGGAAAATGGACAAGCTGCTTTCTTAACTATGTCCTGACCTGCGCCTGACCCTCATTTCTTTGTTTTTTCCTCTAGCCCTGGCTTTGTGTCATGGATTCAACCTGGACACTCAAAATGCAGTGATCTTTCAAGAGAACGCAAGGGGCTTTGGGCAGAGCGTGGTCCAGTTTGAGGGATCCCGGTAAGGGCTGCAGGGTGGCAGAAGTGGGAGAGGGTGGCGGGGGGGCGCCGTGTCTCACAGGCTTTCCCTCTAAGACTACATACCGGAAAGAAAGTCACAATTTCCTTGATGTTGTTTTGTTTTCCTTGATTTATTGCTAAATAGGTAATACAATGACAGGGTTCTTAAGTCAAAAGATACAAGAGTCTCATAATGAAAAATCCTCCACACTCCTTTTCCCCAGTCCCCATCCCACGAGGGTTTTTTGTGTGTTCTTCTGGAGAGAGTCTGCTGGACATACGCCCACGTTTCACCACCCCCAGCTGCACAGTTTGTAGCACAGGTTATACTAAAACTGCGCCGCTGCCTATTTTTGTAAATAACATTTTATTAATCCCCCCCACTCCCCACCCAACGTATTTATTGTCTATAGCTGCTTTGGTGCTACAGTGGTGGAATGAAGAAGCTGTGAGACCACATGGCCTGCAAAGCCTGAAATATTGACCTTTACAGAAAGAATATTTATGGAAATTGTATTACCTTTCCAGATACAGTTTGCTGGTTTCTACTCTATACCATCCTTTGCATTTGGTTTTTTTGGTAGAGCTTGGTCATTTTACCAGATAAGTGCACAAAGAGCTTCCTTTTATGCTTGTGTTACTGGAGAGCAGACCCTTCTTGGCTCGGTGTCCAGATTCTTGGTATCCCGAACAAAGAATTTACTGGGACACCAAAAGGCAGTGGTGAAAGAGCAGTTTATTAGAAATGAAAGTATACTCCAAATAGGGAGATAGAAGCAGGCCTGAGCAACAGCATGGCTCAAAAGGCACCAGCTGGCCAGGACTTGGAGTTTTTATTCTCTTTTCTCTGGAATGGGCTACTCCTTGCTGGGTATGGGGTTACTTGATTGGCACCTGTGACGAACAGGAGGCAATTACCTCATCTTTTTAGATTGCACATGTTCCTTCCCAGAATTCAGTCTGTTATAATGATATTTAATGAACTTCCGGGCATATGTATGATATTATAATGATGGCATAATGAGGCCCAGGTGAAATGAAAGTCATTGTAGCCTTTACTGTACAGATGTGAGTGACTGGTCTAATCTAGGTAGGTAGTTTGTATCCTTTGGCTTCCTCATAGTGGTTGATGGTTATAGTGGATAAGGGAGAGGTTTGGGTGGAGAGGGGAGGTCTAGTGGGTGGTCGCTCTCCGAACGCCATATTGGACATGCAGGAATGTTACCTGACATGTTCGGTTGTCTTGGAGAACCAATTCCTGTCTCTAACTGCCTGCCTTACATCCCCCTTGAGAGGCGTGATCCCCATAAAATCTCTATGGGAAGTTGAGGGGCAGGAGGTCTTTTCTTCTGTATCTGCTTCCTGCTGGGCAGAGGCATAGAGCTGTCCCTACCTATCGGGGATCCATGGAACTCTCACCCTAGCTGATCTTAGATGAGAGGAAGGGCATCTTGAAACCCACCAGGAAGACCATGTTGACCTCTTTGGACGGGAGGTACTGGAAGTCTTGCTGGGCCATCGTTTGTATCCCATCAGCCCCCTAGATGACGATCTTCCATTTAAGATTAAAAGGCTGATTTGAGGGTCAGCCGAGTGGTGCAATGGTTAAGAACTGGCTTGGGATGCCAGAGGGCCCCAGTTCGGATTGCACATAAGAGGGCCAGTGACACTGCCCTCCACAGCTAAGATGCTGAACAACAGCTCAACCTGGAGCTGGGCTGCCGTGAGTCACCGGCAACGGGCGTAGGCTGCAGCCCCTGTGGCAGTGGGTTGTCATGGGTACCGTATGTAGCCAGCAGCCAGTGTGAGCGGCCAGCAGCCACAGTGAGCGGCAGTCCAGAAGCCAGCGACTGATCTGCCTCGCTGGGGAAGAGTGCAATGATGGTGCCAACTTGGGCCAGTGAAGCAACGTCCTCCACAACTAGACTGAAGAACAAAACGACAGCAACTTGTCTGTTCCCCTTCCCCCAATTCCCCAGCACTGTTCCCATCCCCCCAATTCCCCAATAAAAAAATCTGAAAAAAAATGACTATCTATTTGAATTTAACCATTTTTAAATGACCTTTGTGTTTTGTGTTATTCTTAGAGAGGTCCTTCTTACTCTGAGATTAAAATTTTTCCCTTTCTTTTTTTTGTCTTTTTTGAGTCTTCCTCCTATTTCTAGGAATTGGGGAATTTGTGTGAGGGTTGATTCCCCCACTTTCCTTTGGGTGGCAGGACTTCTTCCATGGTCTCCTTCTCTCCCCATGCGATGTCAGTTTTCTGTTATGTCAATTTTCTCTTATTCCTGTCGTATCTGTTCCCACCTCTCCCCCAGGGTGGTGGTTGGAGCCCCCCAGGAGATAAAGGCTGCCAACCAAACAGGTGGCCTCTACCAGTGTGACTACAGCACGGGCACCTGTGAGCCCATCCCCCTGCAAGGTGAGTCACTGCCCCTCCCTAACCCAGAATTAGGGTTCCACCTGTGCATACACTTGGACTTGCCAGGTATTCCCTTTGTCTTGGTGGGCTTGTGGTGGGGGGCCCAGGGGGACAACTCCTCAGCCCCTGTGTGGCAGGCAGGCACCCCCTTTGTATTCTCTTCCCGTGACCTGGGCGCTCCCTTGACCTGTCAGACTGTCGTGTCTTCCAGGTTGAGGTGACCCCTGCCCAGTTCTCACACAGGCCCTTTCATCTCCCCTAGTGTAACCATGCACATGTCTGTCTCCCCAGTCCCCCCGGAGGCTTTGAACATGTCCCTGGGCCTGTCTCTGGCATTTGCCACCAATCCTTCCCAGCTGCTGGTGAGTTGCCCCTGGGTCACGGTGAAACTGGAGGGCCACTGAGTCAGGGGCTTGTGCCGCTTGCGCTTCAGCCAATAGACCAACACAGCAGTTGGTGATCCGAGAAGGCAGCGGGTTCACACCTTCAAATCTGCCTTAAGGTTCTCAGATGGTCTTGGGGTGTTTAAGGGAAAATCTAGGCGTTCCTCCAGAGGCTACATGGTGGTTCCGGGGGTCTGCATGGAGGCTTCCCTCTGGCCACATGGTTCTCTGGTGGCATCAGCAACCCAGGAGCAAGGATGGGAGTAGCCTAGAAAGAATGCTAGACCATAGAGATTGTGATCAATAAGCTAAGGTATTATTAATCATATGTTTCAGAGTAATTTTCTAAAACAGGGAACTGGGACAGGGGACATACCAAGCTCAAGCCACAGGGGGATGATCTATTGTTAAGCTATAGGCCAAGTAAAGGTGAGGTGGGGACTCTGTGAGGCCTCTGTTATGGGCCTGCTTCAAGGGCAGCATCCTGAAAGGAGGCGTGGGGATCTGGGGGTGCTGGGCTGGAGTCTTGTGGAGGGTGCAGATGCTGTGGTTAAGGGTGGAAAGCTTGGACAGCCCCTCCAATCCACACTCTGCCCCCCAGGCTTGCGGCCCCACTGTACACCAGGTTTGCAAGGAGAACATCTACGTGAATGGCTTATGCTTCCTGTTTGGACGCAACCTGCTGCAGCAGCCCCAGAAGTTCCCGAAGGCCCTCAGAGGTAGGCAGCATTTGACAGAGTGCGGTTGGAGGCAGGGGCAGGCCCGGGCTGGGGCCTGGCGGCTCCTGGGCTGGGGGGGACTCAGAGCTTTGAGGGAAGAAGGGTGAGGGGACAGGGATCCCACCAAGAGATAGACAGGGGGATGTGCTAGAGTCTTGCATTTTAAGAACAGTCCTGATGTAGCCACTCATCTTTGTGAGATGATGTTCCAACCATTGACATCAAGTAAGTGCCTTTGAGGCCTTAGAAGCGAGGCCCCGACCACCTCCAGCTTCTTTCCCACCCCTTCTACCTTACTCACTGTTCTCCAGCCACTCTAGCTGCTGTTCTTCTCAAAGAACCATGTGGAAGTCTCTCTGTCTCAGGGCCTTTACACTCACTATTCTTCCAGTCTGGCCTCTTCTCCCCCCAGGTCTCAGCTGACAACCCATGATTGTTACCTCAGCTCAAATGTCATCTCTTCAAAGAGACCTTCCCTGAGTGGCCCTTCTAATCATCCCTGCCACATTACCCTACTTCACCATCCTCATCTCTACATATCCATATTCTACTTGTTGCTTATCTGTCCTTTCTCCTGGGATGTAGGTTCCATGATGGCAGGGATATTGCCTAACTTCTCCACTGCTCTGTGCCTACTGCTGCTTAACAAATTGCCCCTGAACTTAGCAGCTAAAAACAACAAATGTTAATTATCTTGTCGTTTCTAAGAATCAGGAATCTGGGCATGGTTTGGCTGGGTGCCTCTGCCTCAGGGTGTCTCATGAAATAGAAGTTAAGTTGTTGGGCTGGAGCTGTGGTCTCATCTGAGGGCTGGACTGGGGTAAGACCCTTTCCAAGCTCCCTTCTGAGGTTGTTGGATGAAGGGCCTCAGTCCTCACTGGCTGTTGGCTGGAAGCTCCCCTCAGTGGCTTGTTACATGGGTCTCCCTATAGAGCAGCTCAGGACAGAGCAGCTGGCTTCCCCCCGGGAGTAAACAGAGAGACGGAACAGAGAGCAGGCACCGAGGACAGAAGTCACAGTGTTTATGACCTAATCTCGGAAGTAACTGCTCATTTTTTTCTGCTGTCCCTTTGGAGTGAGTCAGAAAGTCCAGCTCAAACTCAAGAAGCAGGGACTGTTATTATTACTATTATCACCAGGAGGAAAGACCCTGGGGACCATTGTGGGGGTTGCCTACACCCCCCCGTTCCCCAAACATTTGTTGATTAAAGGAGAGTGAGTAAGTGAATGCGTCTTCTTTACAGCTGCTTTTTGTCACTGATTTCATCAACTGCTTGGCCATCCTTTTGCTTATCTCTAAGTTGGCTCTGGAACCAAGGGCAGATATGTCTTCCTTTTATAGTTGTTTTTTCCCCCTTCAAGTTCCTTGGGACTTCACTCAACAGATCACTCTCCCTCCTCCTTCACAGAGAAAGCCAAGGCTGCCAGGCACGAGCTCCCTCCACTTCCTCCTTTTCCTTCTCCAAATTTCCATAGAGGCATCGCTCTTGGTGGGGTGTCTCTGCCTTTCCATGAAGGGTTCTGCCATTCATTCTCTGGAACCTTTCTCACATTGTCAACTCTTCAATCTGTATCTTCAATCACTCATTCTCTCCAGGAGCTTAAATCTCTCCCACTCCTTTGAATGGAAACATGCTTATGCTTCCCATATGTTTTTATGTTTTTTTAAAAAAATTAGCCACTAAAATCAATACCAATGAAAACAACCTTCCGTCCTCCTGGTCTCCCCCGCATCTTCAGCCATCTCCGCCCCTTCACCACCAAACTTCTTGAAAGCATTCTCTCCTCTCGTCTCTCTTTCCCCATGTTATGAATCTTCACCCTCTGACATCTGGCTTCTACCTACCCACTGTATAGGCCTTGCTCTTGCAAATGGCATCTGTGACCCCTAAATGACAAATTTCTTTTCTGTCCTCCTGTTCACTGACCTTTCTGATGTGCCTGTAGATCACCTCTTCCTTCCCCAAACACTTCAGCCTCAAACATCTCTCCCCTTCCTCCCCTTCCCTCCCTTCCCTTCCCCTTCTCCCTCCCCTCTCCTTCCCCTTCTATCTCCCTCCTCTCTCCTCTCCTCCCTCCCCTTCTTTTCCCTCCCTTTTCTATGCATCTTTCTCTGCACAGGTCTTCTTTCAGCTGAGCATCACCCCCAGGCCATCTTCTTTTGCCTTCCCTGCCTGCCGAGGGCACTGGGTTACTGCATCTATCCTTCCCATGTGGTCTTCCTGCCTTCTCGTGTACAATTCTGTGGCTTCACCTCCCATCCCCACATTTCTGTCTCCCATCCTCACTCTCAGGAGTTCAAGATTCTTTTCTTTTTTTAAAATTTTCTTTTCTTTTTTCTTTTTTTTAAGATTTTTATTGGTGAATTGGGGGATGGGAACAGAGCTGGGGAATTGGGGGAAGGGGAACAGACAAGTTGCTGTCCTTTTGTTCTTCAGTCTAGTTGTGGAGGACGTTGCTTCACTGGCCCAAGTTGGCACCATCATTGCGCTCTTCCCAGGTGAGGCAGATCAGTCTCTGGCTTCTGGACGGCCGCTCACTGCGGCTGCTGGCTACTCACTGTAGCCCATGGCAACCCACTGCCACAGGGGCTGCAGCCTACGCCCTTGAGGACTCACGCAGCCCAGCTCCAGGTTGAGCTGTTGTTCAGCATCTTAGATAGATGTAGAAGGCAGTGTCACTGGCCCTCATATGTGGGATCCGAACTGGGGCCCTCTGGCATCCCAAGCCAGCTCTTAAGCAACGTACCACTCGGCCGGCCTCATTTCTTTTAAAATAGATAATACATGTACTTGGTTCAAAATTCCAAGGGCACTAACGATACACAGTACAAACTTCTCCCTCTTGGGTTCCCCAGCCTCCTGCTTTCTTCCTGTTACCTGTTCTTGTGTCCTCTGGAGAAACTCCATGTATCACAGACACACACATACCTACATCCAGCACTTTGTGCCATACTGGAGCCTGTTACACGCTGTACTGCACTGTAATCCTTTTAACATATCTTAGATTTTTTTTTTGAAAAAACCTTTTTCTGGCTAATCTTTGTATATTTTCCATATAAACCTTAGACTCTGCTTGTTTATTTTTTTTTAAAAGCCAGTCCTATTTTGGGTAATTTTATTTTATTTTTTCAATGTCATACAGTAAAATTGACCTATTATCTTTAAAAAAAAATTATTTTCCAGTTGTGGATGACATATAATATTATATTAGTTTCAGGTATACAACATAGTGATTATAAATTTATATACCTTATGAAGTGATCATCCCTATAAGTCTAGTACCCGTCTGACACCATACCTAGTTATTATCATGTTACTGACTATATACCCAATGCTGTGCTTTACATCCCTGTGACTATTTTTTGTAGTGTAAATTTCATGAATTTTAAGGTATGTATAGATTTGTGTAAACAGCAGCATGAATAGGATATGAAAGAGTTCCCTCTAAAACATCCCTCTGCTCCCCTCATATCCATCTGCCTCCTTTCTTTCACCTCCAGTCCCTGGCACTCACTGACCTGTTCTCCATCACTGTATAGTTTGTCTCTTCAAGAGTGCCACATAAATGAAACTAACTTTTTGAGTGGCTTCTTTCACTAGCATAACATGTTTGCGATTCATCCATATGGTTTTGGGTGTCAATGGTTCTTCCTTTTTTTATTGCTAAGTAGCAAGCATTCCATTGCATGGATCTGCCACAGTCTAGTTCACCAACTCAGCCATTCACGCACTGAAACACGTCTGGGTTATTATCAATGTTTCACAGTCACGAGTACAGATGCTAGAAACTGTTGCCTCTAGGGCAAGCTTTCTAAAATACAAACAGATCTTCTCACTTCGAAGAATCTTTCTGAAAATGTTCTTTCCTAAGAACCTTCAGTGGCCCCTCACTGCCTAAGGGATCAAGTCAAACTTTTTGGGGAGATAGAGAGGTTCTTTCCAACTGTTCTCCACTTAATGTCATTGCCTCGTCTGCACCTCCATCATATAGATTCACCCTGGTAGTGCCATTTCCATTCCTGCCTCCCCTCCGTGCCCAGGTGCTTCCATTACCCTTCCACATCAGTCAGGGTCTCTGCTGGAACAGGTGGCATACTCCAGTTAATGTTATTTGAGGAGGGTTTATTTACAAAGGGTTTCATTATAAAGATGTGGTAGGGTCTAAGGGACAGCCCAGGAACCCAGGGCTGTCACCAACCCTAAGTGGATGGGACAAGGAGAGGGAAATGTCACCAGAACCCAGAGGATAGAGAGTCGAGTGGAGCTGGTCTCCTTGAGACCAGCGGTGATCTTCTGTCGAGAGACACAGCTGACCCAAAGCAACCTTGAGAGAGGGAACTGAGAGGAGAATCCTCTGACTTCACCTTCCTCCCTACCTCCAGTCTCCTGCTGAGGATCCTAATTGGGCAAATCCAACTAGAAGCCAGAGGGTGAACAACTGTGTTGCTGTAGCCTATGTAGGCTGAGCCCCCAAGCAGCAGAGCAGATGGAGGATGGAAGGATGTGGGTTTGGGAGGAAGGGACATGAACACCAGCACACCATTATCCGTGCTACTCCTTTTTTTCTGTTATTTGTTTCTCCCTTTGAATTTCTGGCAAGTTATTTGTCATTCCTCATGACGTAGCTCAACTATCAGCAGAGAGTGACATGCAAAACATGGACCTGGAGTCTCGAGGATTCAATCAGTCCCTGCCTTTTCCTTTTCTACAGAGTGTCCTCAGCAGGATAGCGACATTGCCATCCTGATAGATGGCTCTGGAAGCATCAACTCATATGACTTCCAGAAGATGAAGGAGTTTGTCTCAACGGTGATGAATCAATTCAAGTCCAAAACCTTGGTGAGGGCCAGTGGGTAGGTCAGGGAATAACCCACAAAGGCTGCCAAGGACATGGCAACTAGGTCGCCATTTTCCCCTCCTACTTCAACTGCAGACTTTTGACAATTTGAAAAATTCACAAATTGCCAATCGGTCGTGGTTTCCTTTTGAGATTCTCTTTCTTGCTCTGTCTGGATGCATCCTCAGTATTCTCCCAGCTCCCCATCAATTGGGCAGCTCTGACTCATTGATAAAGGTTTGGCATGGGAGATGAAGCCACCATGTCATCCTGGCTAAGTTTTAGTATGGAGCAGTGGGAGCTGATACCACACCTGTTTCCTGGTGAGGCAGGAGGGGGTGCGGGGAGCAGTGTAGAATTTGGAGACTGGAGTATTTTAAGATTTATGGGGCTTTCTGGGAGATGGCTAAGGATGGGGACACAGGGGGAGCACCTTCTCCAGTGTAATGCCAAGTGTTCCTTCCCAGTTCTCTTTGATGCAGTTCTCGGATGACTTCCAGACTCATTTCACCTTCAAAGAGTTCAAGGATAACCCTAACCCAGACCTGCTGGTGAGGCCAATAAAACAGCTGCGTGGGTGGACGTACACAGCCACAGCAATCCGCAAAGTGGTGTAAGCTCTTCCCTCTTTGCTGGGGATGGACGAAGGAGGTGATAATTTAATCTGGGCCTTGAAGGATAGGGGAGTTGTTCAGACAGGGATGGGGTAAATTTCTGGTTGAGGGACCAGCACGAGTGAAGGTGAGGAGGAGGGACTGTTCATGACAAAACAAGTTGGGAGTAAAGGGGGGACGTGAGAGAAATGCTGGAGTGGGGCTTGGAAGATTGATCAGATGAGGCCAGGTCACTAAAGGTAACTGAAAAGCCAGTAGGGATCCACTGAAGGGTTTAGGCAGTGGGGAGACATCACCACATCTTGTTTTGGAAAGTTCATTCTGATTTCTGTGTGTGTGCGCAAATGTATGTGAGTGTGAGTGTGTGTTGTAGAGGGAAGGGTTGGGACAAATGTACAAGAAGATGAGCTAGAGAGCTGCTGTATCAAACTAGGAGAGGTTTAATGAGGACCAAATTAAGTTTATTTTTTAAAAAAATGTGTGGTTCTTTTTTGCGGGGGAGGGGAACAGCGTTGGGGAATCAGGGAAGGGGAACAGACAAGTTGCTGTCCTTTGGTTCTTCAGTCTAGTTGGGGAGGATGTCGCTTCACTGGCACTTGTTGGTATTATCATTGCGCTCTTCCTGGGTGAGGCAGATCGGTCACCGGCCACTGGACGGCCGCTCACAGCAGCTCATGGCAGCTCACGCTGGCTGCCAGCCACTCACAGTAGCTTATGGCAGCCTACTGCAGCCTCACTGCAGCCTACGCCATCGCCGGCGACTCACGGCAGCCCAGATCCAGGTTGAGCTGTTGTTCACCATCTTAGCTGTAGAGGGCGCAGCATCACTGGCCCATGTGGGAACCGAACCAGCGGCCCTGCCGCTCAGAGCCCACGCTCCCAAGCCAACTCCTAACCAACTGAGCCACTCGGCTGGCCCTAAAAAAGGTTTTATAACTTAAAAGGAATAATACTCAGTTTTTAAAAATCAACCTGTACAAAAGTATAAAAAGGCAGTGGAGGCTCCTTTCCCCCCACACTCGTCCCCCCTTTCCTGCTGGGTCTAGGGACAGCCACATCTCAGTGTTCATTGCAGGGAACCCAAGACCCTGCTGCCTCTGCATCTGGGACTGCTGACATTCCTCCCTAGCAGTGAGAGTATCTCTGTCTTCTTGCATTTGACCTTCCCCTTCTCTTCCCTGCACAGAAGAGAACTGTTTCAAAGAAGGAACGGAGCCCGGGAGAATTCCCTTAAGATCCTGGTAGTCATCACAGATGGAGAAAAATCTCGTGATCCTTTGGAGTACGAGGATGTCATCCCTGAAGCTGACAGAGAGGGCATCATTCGCTACGTCATTGGGGTAGGAGATGCGGCTCTCTAGCCTGATGCTTCTGTGCAGGGCATCTGTTTGGATATAGTCTCCCTTCAATTAGCAAATGTCAATGAAATCAAAGTGGGGCCATGGTTCCTGCTGGCCATACGTGTGTGTATCAGCCAACTATTGTCACAGCGATGCTGCGTGACAAACCAACCCAAAGTTTAGTGGTTTAAAACAATAAGTGAGGGTGTAGGTCCACTGGGCCCTTTTTCTGGTCTTAGCTGGGCTCACTCATGCCCTGTAATCAGTGGCAGGCTGGTTGGCAGCCCTGCAGATCTTGGCCGGGCTCTCTCCATCCCAGAGGGAGCTATGTCTGTCTATCTGTCTGTTTGTCTGCTGACCTGGAACAGAGGGAACCACTGGATCATGTGGCTCCTCTGCTCGGGTCTCATCCTCCAGTAGACCAGCCTGGGCATATGCTGTGGTGAAGGCAGAGGAACCAAAGAGCAAGAGGAAATTGGGCAAGCACTTTTCAAGCCTCTGTTTGCATCACATTGAGTATCATGCAAGACCCGGGGCTGAACCTAGAGGCAATGAGTCAGGCAGGTTACTCTGCCAAGAATAAGAGGGTACAGCACAGTGTAGGAGAAGGCTTAAATATAGGAGTGGGGAGAGGGTTGGGATTATCAGTATAATCAAACTGCCACAGTCCCTTGTGTGACATAGAAAAAGTGTGTGGCTTTGCAAGCAGGAAACACCTTCCTATAACGACAAAAGGCTCCTTTTCCTCTGGAGAGAGGTTTGCCCCACCCCAGGCAGCATGGCATGACAAATGGCCCCAGGCTATCCTTCATTCCCCAATCACAGAGTCCCCTGCACAGTGCACTACCTGCTCTACTGTGCCTGGCAGCCCTGTCCCAGGGGCCTTCTAGTGCATTCTCTCATGTGACAAATATTGGTTCAGAAATTTTTTTTCTGCAGCATTTTCTTTGCTGGAGGAGACTGCTACCCCAAGGCAGTGCCTGATGTAGCTGCTGTTTCTTAATAACAGGTGGGCTCTGCCTTCAATAGTGAGCGATCCCGCCAAGAGCTTAACACCATTGCCTCCAAGCCAGCTCTCGATCATGTGTTCCGGGTGAATAACTTTGAAGCTCTGAAGACCATTCAGAACCAGCTTCAGGAAAAGATCTTTGCAATTGAGGGTGAGCTAAGGTTCTGTGTCCCTGGAGCAGCCCAGAGGCAGCCCCTCACCCCCAAACACGTATTCCTCTCTAGAAACCAGACCTCCTAACCCTTGGTATCCCGACCTTCGGCACCAGCTTTTACACTTTGCCAGGTCCCAGAAACTCTGGCTTCACTTGTTCAGTTCCTTTGGAATAGAAGGATCTAGGCTTTTATAATGAATTTTGCAACTCTTGGCCATAGACTGAAAAATTGGAGGGCAGGGGAGCCAAATCCCACACAGTATGTTCCCCCAAATTTGGATATGTTGCCAGCATTTGTCTGTTTGGTTCCGCTGTTTCCCCAGTGGCTAGAATCATGCCAGGCACATAGGCGATGCTCAATAACAGTTCTCTGAATAAAAGAACTTAAAAATTGGGTGAAGGTCCACATGCAGTCTGGATTTATGGTTTCTCTTGAAAAGTTGGAAGATAATACACCTTGAGGACTATATTCCCACTTGGCAAAAAGTGTGGAGCCACAGAGCCACCATCCCATTAAAAGCGGCGGAGCTTGGGCCGGCTGAGTGGCTCAGTTGGTTAAGAGCTCGCTCAAGAGTTTGAGCTCTGAGCAACAGCGGTTCGAGGCCAGCCCGAGCTGAGCAGCCGCTAAGCTGCCAATAGGTAGCAGGATGGCTCAGCTAAAAAAAAAAAAAAAAAAAAAAAGCGGCGGAGCTTTCTTGTTCAACACAGCTCTCCTTCAAGCCGCCTTGTGTCCGGCCACCATAACATCTGAATTTCTAGCTCCCATTCTAGGCTCTTCTGACTTCTTTAATGTAGCAAGCTCTCCTCCCCACAGGGACCCAGACAGGCAGCACCAGCTCCTTCGAGTATGAGATGTCTCAGGAAGGCTTCAGTGCTTCCATAACCTCCGTAAGTGGTCCTTTGTTAAATTGGGAGGGAGGTGGTAGTAAGAAGAAGGGGCAGAAAGTCACAAGGGGGCTTTTCTCTGTGGTGGGTATTTTGGGGAGGCACCTCCTTAATGGGAGCAGTGGTCCTTTCTCTCTTCCTTGTCAATCCTGTTCTTTTCTTTTTAAATTGAGATGCGATGGACATATGGCATGCTATCGGCTTCAGGTGTATAACAATGATTCTCTATATACAGAATGATTCCATATGCAGAGGGTGCCAAAAAATGTATACACATTTTAAGAAAGGAAAAAATCATATTAAAATTTTAATGCTCAATATATACCGATAACAAAAGATGAATACAAATCACGTTTGACTTCTGCCATTACAAGAGGTGCTCAAAGTGGTTCCCATCAGCTTAATTTTAATACAGTTTTTTACTTTCTTAAAATGTATATACATGTTTTTGGCACCCTCTGTCTATGTGGAAATGATCACTATAATAAGTCAAGTTAACATCCATCACATCACAGTTACAAATTTTTTTCTTGTGATGAGAACTTTCAAGATTTATTTTCTTAGCAACTTTCAAATGTACAATACAGTATACTAACTATAGTTGCCATGATGTCCATGACTTCCCCAGGATTTAATTATTTTATAACTGGAAGTTTATACCTTTGACCTTCTTCACCCATTTCGACCACTCCCCACCCCTTGCCTCTGGCACCCACCAGTTTGTTCTCTGTACCTTTGAGTTATTATTATTTTTTTCAGATTCTCTATATCAGTGAAATCATATAGTATTTGCCTTTCTCTGTCTGACTTATTTCACTCAGCATAATACCCTGTAGGTCCATCATCTATGTTGTCACAAATGACAGGATTTCCTTCTTTTTTATGGCTGAATAATATTTTTGTGTGTGTGCGTGTGTGTGTATGTATGTATGTATGACATTTTCTTTATCCATTCATCCACTGATGGACACTTAGGTTGCTCCCATCTCTCGGCTATTGTTAATAATGCTGCAATGAACATGGGGGTGCAGAGATCTTTTTGAATTAGTGTTTTCATTTCCTTCAGATACATTACACAGAACTGGAATTGTTGGGTCATATGCTAGTTCTATTTTTAATTTTTTGAGGAACCTCCGTACTGTTTTTCATACTGGCTGCACCAATTTGCATTCCCACCAACAGTGCACAAGGGTTCCCCTTCTCCACATCCTCACCATCACCTGTTGTTTGTTTATTTATTTATTATTTATTTATTTATTTATATTAAGATTTTATTGGGGAATTGGGGGAGGGGATCAGTGTTGAGGAATTGGGAAAGGGGACCAGCCAAGTTGTTGTTCTTCAATCTTCATTGTGGAGGTTGCCAGTCACCATCTGGCTGCCAGTTGGCAGCTCATGGCCTCTAAGCTTAAGGTGCTGTGTTCAATCTTAGTTGCGGGTGGGCGTAGCCACCATCCCATGCAGGAGTTCAACCTGGCAGCCTTGTTGTTAAGAGTACACGCTTTATCCACTGAGCCATCCAGGTGGCAGCTCAGCTCAAGGTGCCAAGTTCAGCTTAGTTGTGGGTGGGCATAGCCCATCATCAAACAGGCAATCTTGTTGTTACACCAGCTGAGCCATTCTGGCACCTGTTGGCAGCTCAGCACCAGCTTAGCTTGGGCACAGAGTCACTGGCCCATGTGGGAATTGAACTGGCAGCCCTGTTGCTCAGAGCTCATGCTCTTAAGCCAACTCTTAACCAACTGAGCCACTCGGCCGGCTCTGTTTGTTGATTTATTGATGATGCCATTCTGACAGGTGTGAGGTGATAGCTCACTGTAGTTTTGATTTGCATTTCTCTGATGATTAGTGACATTGAGCATATTTTCACGTACCTGTTGGCCATGTGTGTGTCCTCTTTGGAGAAATGCCTGTTCAGGTCCTTGGCCCATTTTGTAACCAGGTTGTTTGTTCTCTTAGTACTGAGTTGTATGAGTTCTTTATATATTTTGGATATTAACCCCTTGTCAGATATATGATTCACAGATATTTTTCCCATTCTGCTGGTCGCCTTTTCCTTTTTTTGGTGGTTTCTTTTGCTGTGCACAAGCTTTTCAGTCTGATGCCCCACTTGTTTATTTTTGCTTTTGTGTCAAATCTCAAAAATCATTGCCGAGACTGATGTCAAGGAGCTTACCCCCTATGTTTTCTTCTGAGAGTTTTATGATTTCAGGTCTTATGTTCAAATATTTAATCCATTTGTAATTGATTCTTGTGTTTGGTGTAAGACTGTGTCCAGTTTCATTGCTTTGCACGTGTCTGTCCCGTTTCCCCAGCAGCATTTGTTGAAGAGATTGTCTTTTCCCCACTGTACATTCTTGGCTCTTTTGTCATAATTAATTAACCAAAAATGCATGGGTTTATTTCTGAGTTCTCTATTCTGTTCCGGTGGTTTATGTGCCTGTTTTTATGCCCATACCATACTTTTGATGACTACAGCTTTGCAATATAGTTTGAAGTCAGGACGTGTAATACCACTAACTTTGTTCTTTTTTCTCAGAATTGCTTTAGTTATTTGGAGTCTTTGTGGTTTCATACAAATGTTAGGATTGTTTGTCCTATTTATGTGAGAAATGCCATTGGGATTTTTATAGGGGTTGTATGAAGGTATAGATCGCTCAGTTCTGTCCCCTCTTCCCCAGAATGGGCCCTTGCTGGGTGCTGTGGGGAGCTTTGACTGGGCTGGCGGAGCCTTTCTGCACATGCCAAGGGACAAAGTCACCTTCATCAACACAACCAGGGTGGATTCGGACATGAACGATGCTTACTTAGGTAAGTGCAGAGGGCAGAGTTACCCTAAGAACGGGTCAGGATGTGGCAGAACTCAACCCGGGAGAGGTTACTGGATCTTTCACAGGCCCTTGGGATAGCTTTAAAGACAGAATTTTAAAACCTTCATTTCATTATGTTAACAAAGAGGAATAGAGTGCAGGGTCCAGAGACCCCAAACAAGCACGCATGGGGCTGCTCCTACCCAAGGGCTAGGCCTGCTGGAGGGGCGGGGCCTGTGAGGAAGAACACCTGTCTTGGGTCACCATCTCCAGGTTATGCGGCCGATGTCATCTCGCGGAGCCGGGTGCAGATGATAGTTCTGGGGGCGCCACGGTACCAGCACACGGGCATGGTGGTGCTGTTCAGACAGAATGCTGGTACCTGGGAGACCAACACTGTCATCAAAGGCAGCCAGGTAAGTGCAGGTCATGCATGTGCAAATGGAGGCACCCTGGGCGCTGAAAGATTCCAGGATGGGCGTCCCCAGGTGCCACGAGTGGCAGAGCTTCATAAAGGAGCTTTCACAGGGCTTTGAGCTGGAGATTCACAAGATCAGCTTGGTACTTGGGAATGCTGTGTGCTCACTTTTCTAACAACAATAAATAATATAACAGCACCTGACCTGTACGGAGCTCTCTATGAGTCCACCTATATATGGAGCTGGTATTTGACAGCACACAACCAGAGTAGCCATGTTAGTTATTAAAATACTAAAATAATTTCCTATCTGTCAGTAAATAGCCGTTTCCCCGAGGTGCCCCCTACTCCCAAACCCTGGCCCCTTCCTCAGGCCTCTTTGAACTTCCCCAGCAAACTCTGAGATCAGGCAGGGCACCCAGGGCACCTCTAGACCTACTCCAGCTAAGTCCCTCCCTGGCTGGTGCCTGAGTTGTCCAAACACTTTTAAATATCACCCCTACAAGAGCAGTGTGGTGTGGTATCTTAGGTGGTGTGTGAGGCAAAAACCTTTAGTCAGAATCATCCTTGCAAACCTCTGATGTAGGATGGTACCCACGATATTGTGCCTGTAGTTCTGTGTGTGTTCCTTTAATTTTCATCTGTTCTTTTGGTCTGTGATTAATGCATCCTATGTAGAGGAAACCAGTTTGCTCTGACACCTGAACCAGCTTGTCATTCTTTGTCAATAGTCACTTTCTCCATATGACCTTCAAAGGTTTTACCAATACATGTTGACACTGATGGTGTCAGTGCCTGGCATGTAGAGGGGTAGGGTGGGAAGAATGTGCGGGGACTTTCAGGGAGTCAGGTATGGGTGTGATGCTTCTTCTCTGTGTTGTGTGTGTGGTTCAGGATCACATGGGGGAAAGGTGGCTGGTAGACTCCCCACCACACACAGGTATTCCACGTGCAAACTATAATCAAGGTTGATAAATACTTAACCAGGGACAGTTTGAGTGTTATGAGAGCAAATGGAAGGGGTACCCACATAAAAGCATTAGGGATGGCTTCCTAAGGAGGTGACATTTAAGGTGGAAAAACTAGAGAAGTGAAGAGGCAAGAAAGAAAAGGGTCAGAGGACGGAGAAAGCATAGGTTCCAAGTGTGTGTGTATATGGGGATAGGGGAAATGTGGAAGAAGACACTGGAAGAAGGGTAGGAAGCAGATTCATCTCAAGCTTATTCACTCCCTCCATTTCTGCTGCTATTAGCTTGGCCCAGGCCACCAGCTCTTCTGTGGACCTAGCTGCAGCCTCCTTGTTGGTCTCCCCAAATCCCATGTTGCTTCCCTCTAATTCATAGGAGGGTGAACTTTCTAAATGAGAAACTATTTATATCAGTCTTCAGTTTAAGACTCTTTGTTGACTACAGACCAATATCCAATAAAGATGAAAAAATCCTCAACCAAATACAGTTGACTTTTGAACAATATGGGTTTGAACTGTGTAAGTCCACTTTTTTTTCCAGTAAATATATCAGAAAAAATTTTAGCGATTTGCAAGAGTTTGAAAAAACTCACAGATGAATTGCATAACCAAGAAATAATGAAAAAATTAAGAAAAAGTTAGATGTGTCATGAATTTGTGTAATACATGTAACATACAAAATATGTGTTAATCAACTGTTTATGTTGTAAGTTAGGCTTCTGATCAACAGTAGGCAATTAGTAGTTAAGTTTTTGGGGAGTCAAAAGTTATATATGAGTTTCATTTACATGGGGTGGGGGGGAGTCAAATCCCTGGTGTTGTTCAAGGGTCAATTGTGTCAGCAAATTAAATCAAGCAATCTTTAAAAAGATAATAGTCACAACCAAGTGTGGTTTATCCCTGGAATACAGGGCTTGTTCAACCATGTTGCCGAAATGAACAAGCTGATTCTAAAGTTCATATGGAAAGACAAGGGACCCAGAATAGCCAAAATCATTTTGAAAAAGAAGAATGAAATTGGAGGACTCACACTTCCCTATTTCAAAACTTAACTACTGTTGACTGAAAAATAACATCGTGTTTCGTTACCAAAAATGATTCATTTGGGGAAAAAAAGGGTTGCAACCCATTCCCACTGCATGCAGATGTAGCAAGCCACATGCATGCTCTGGCCTGTATTCCAAGATGAAGGAGTATTTATAGAAGGGAAAAGGAAGTTAAGGGAAGGGGAAGTTAGAACCATAGAGCTTTATTGTAAACATGGAGTTCTTCCTGTAGGGTTCTCATGATTATGTAGAGTGTGGGAACTCCCATGGGCCCTCGCTCCTCCCATAGACACTCCCGACTGATTGTTTGCTTAAAGTTCGTTAGTCTTTTTTTTAAAAAAAAATCTATATAATTTTATTAAGACAAAAACTGACAGTGTGGTGTGAGGTTTACACTTAAATGAAGTTTTCACAGAAACCTAACACATGCCTGAAATGATTTTACAATGGAGTTCTAGATACAGGTCTAGATGATGTCAAGAGCTGATGAATTTCACGATTCAAGACAGCATATTGGGTATTAGTTAATTCTGAGGATTATGAAAGAATGTTTGCTTTATTTGAAAAAGATTTTTATTAAAATATAGCTAACATACAATATTAGTTTCAGGGGTACTGAAACTATTCAACATGTATATACGTAAAGAATGATCCCCATGATAAGTCCAGCAACCATCTGACACTGTCCCACACTATCACAATATTATTGACTAGATTCCCCATGCTGTACATTACATCCCCATGATTTATTTGCTTTATACCTGAAAATTTGGATCTCTTATCCCCCTTTACCTTTTCTCCCCTTTTTAATTTTTCAATTACAGTTGATATTCAATATTATTTTATATTAATTTGAGTTGCACAACATAGTGGTTAGACATTTATATAATTTAAGAAGTGATCCTTCTGATGAGTCTAGTACCCACCTGGGTACTATAATAGTTATTACCATATCATTGACTATGTTCCCTATGCTTTACTTTACACACCCATGACTATTTTGTAACTACCAATTTGTACTTAATTTCTTCATGTTTTCACCCCAACTCCCCTCCCATCTATCACCCCAATAAATCTAGTACCTATCTGACACCATACATAATTATTACAACATTATTGACTATATTCCTTGTGCTATACCCTACATCCCCATGACTACTGTGTAACAACCAATTTGTACTTCTTAATCCCTTCCCCTTTTTCACCCATCCCCATCCCCCTTCTCTTCTGGCAGCCATCAATATGTTCTCTGTATCAATAAGTTTGTTTCTGGTTTTTTTTTTAAAGATTTTTATTGGGGAATTGGGGGATTGGAACAGCGCTGGGGAATTGGGGGAAGGGGAACAGACAAGTTGCTGTCCTTTTGTTCTTCAGTCTAGTTGTGGAGGACGTTGCTTCACTGGCCCAAATTGGCACCATCATTGCGCTCTTCCCGGGTGAGGCACATCAGTCGCCGGCTTCTGGACAGCCACTCACTGTGGCTGCTGGCCGCTCACGTTGGCTGCTGGCTACACACGGTAGCCCATGGCAACCCACTGCAGCAGGTGCTGCAGCCTACAATGTCGCCGGCGACTCACAGCAGCCCAGCTCCATGTTGAGCTGTTTATCAGCATCTTAGCTGTGGAGGGCAGTGTCACTGGCTCTCATATGTGGGATCCGAACCGGGGCCTTCTGGCGTCCCAAGCCAGTTCTTAACCATTGCGCCACTCGGCCGGCCCAGTTTGTTTCTGTTTTGTTTGTTTACTTTGTTCTTTATATTTCCACACATAATCAAAATCTCATTGCATCTGTCTTTCTCTGTCTGACATACTCCACTCAGTACAATACGCTCCAGGTCCATCCATGCTGCCCCAGATGGCAAAAACCCATTCCCTTCCATGGCTGAGCAATATTCCATTCTATGTATGTACCACCTCCTCTTTATCCATTCTTCCATCAATGGACACCTCCACACCTTGGCCACTGTAAACAATGCTGCAATGAACACATGGATGCACATATCCCCTTGAAATAGTGTTTTGGATTTCTTTGGATAAATACACAGTAGTGGGATCACTGAGTCCTTCTTTGTCTCTTGTCGTTTTTGTTTTAAAGTCTATTTATCTGGTATAAATATTGCTACCCAGCTTTGTTTGTTTGTTTCCATTTTCATGAAATATCTTTTTACACCTCTTTGTTTTTAGTTTGTTTGTGTCTTTTGGTCTGAAGTGAGTCTCATGTAGGCAGCATATGTAAGGGTCTTGTTTTGTTATCTGTTCACTCACTCTATCTTTTGATTGGGGCATTTAATCCATTTACATTGAAAGTAATTTTTGATAGATATGAAGTTATTGCCATTATATTATTCATATTTTGATCTTTTCCCCCCTTTTGTCTTAAAGAAGTTCCTCTAAGATTCCTTGTAATCTTGGTTTTGTGGTGATGAACTTTAGCTTTTTCTTATCTGGAAAGCTCTTTACCTGTCCATCGATTCTAAATGATAGCCTTGCTGGGTAGAGTACTCTTGGCTGCAGGTCCTTAATTTTCATCACTTCGAATATTACATGCCAATTCCTTTCTGGCTCCTATGGAAGCTCCTTTATAGATAACTAACTGTTTTTCTCTTGCTGCTTTTTTTTTTTAATTGGGGAATTGGGGGGAGGGTAACAGTGTTGGGGAATTGGGGAGGGGGACCAGCCAAGTTGTTGTTCTTCAGTCTTAGTTGTGGAGGGCACCAGTCACCATCTGGCTGCCCGTTGGCAGCTCACGGCCTCTAAGCTTAAGGTGCTGTGCTACAATCTTAGTTGCAGTTAGGCATAGCCACCATCCCATGTGGGAGTTGAACCTGGCAGCCTTGTTGTTAAGAGCGTCTTAACGCTCTATCCACTGAGCCATCCGGGCGGCAGCTCATCTCAAGGTTCCGAGTTCAGTCTTAGTTGCAGGCAGGCATAGCCCATCATTGAACAGGCAGTCTTGTTGTTAGGAGCACGTGCTCTCACAAGCTGAGCCATCCTATCACCTGTTGGCAGCTCAGCGGCAACTCAGCTCAGGTGCAGCATCACTGGCCCATGTGTGAATCGAACTGGTGGCCCTGTTGCTCAGAGCTCATGCTCTTAAGCTAACTCTTAACCAACTGAGCAACTCGGCTGGCCCACTGTTTTTAAAAAAAATTTATTGGGGAACAGTGTGTTTTTCCAAGACCCATCAGATCCAAGTCAAGAAGTTGTTCTAATCTAGTTGTGGAGGGCACAACTCAGTAACCCATATGGGGATTGAACTGGCAACCTTAGTGTTATGAGCCTGAGCTAACAGGCCACTCCTCCCTCCCAATTTTTAATTGCAACACCATGGGTGTGGGACCTTTCCATTTAGAATCTCTACCCTTCCTATCAGCCTTGATGTGGCTTCTTCTTTATATCCTTAGTTATAGGACTTGTGTTCAGCTAGACTTTAGGTGGTTCTCTATGATGATTGTTCTATAACTCAGTTGTAATAGTTATAATCTTAATGTGATCCTGGGAAGTGGCAGGAATCGCGTTTACCTATTCCACCATCTTGGACCTTCCCTAAAATTCTTTTTAAAAGTAGACATTATTTCTCAATGTCACACAAAAATATCCCTGTAGCAATAGTTACTTTTTAAAAAAGATTCTATTGGGGAATTGGGGGAGGGGAAGAGCGCTGGGGAATCGGGGGAAGGAGAACAAGTCTAGTTGTGGAGGATGTTGCTTCACTGGCCCAAGCTGGCACCATCATTGCGCTCTTCCCTGGAGAGGCAGATCAGTCGCCGGCCTCTGGACGGCCGCTTACGGCGGCTGCTGGCCACTCACGCTGGCTGCTGGCTACACACGGTAGCTTATGGCAGCCCACTGCAGCAGGGGACTGCAACCTATGCTGTCGCCAGCGACCCACGGCAGCCCAGCCCCGGGTCAGGCTGCCATTCACCATCTTAGCTGCAGAGGGCAGTGCCACTGGCCCTCATATGTGGGATCCGAACCAGGGCCCTCTGGCATCCCAAGCCAGTTCTTAACCAACGCGCCACTCGACAGGCCCAGCAATAGTTACTTTTAATCCAAGCCAGTTGATTCCTTATTAGCCAGACTGCCAACTTTGATTTTTTACCCCCTAAAGACTTCCAATGTATTGAAATGATATTCTGTCTGCTCTTACAGGCTTTTCTGTCTGTGTTTTCTGGTCCATCTTCTTTGCTATTTTAATCATCTCCCTGGAACAACATTTGGGGTAAATCCTCACCCACTAAGCATCAACTCTGTTATATGCTCCTCTCTCTGGTAGCACAGTCAAATGGGAATGTATCGTGAATTATCTGGAGGATCACAACTGCTCCAAAGGGCTTTTCCTAGCAGGCATGATTTCTCTGCACAGGGAGAAAACCCCCATGCTCTGCTTTAAATGGGAAGAGGTATGTGATTTTGGCCTCATCTCTTTCAGATTGGCTCCTACTTTGGGGCCTCCCTCTGCTCCGTGGACGTGGACAGAGACGGCAGCTCCGACCTGGTCCTCATCGGGGCTCCCCATTACTATGATTCAACTCGGGGGGGCCAGGTGTCTGTGTGCCCCTTACCCCGGGGGGTGAGTGGCTGATGGGACCTGGCCTGGGTGGGGCTGGGCTGTGGGGTGGAGGGGTTGCCTGAGTTGGGCCTGGCACTGGTTTTGTTCTGCAGAGGGCTAGGTGGCAGTGTGAGGCCATTCTCCGTGGGGAGCAAGGCCACCCCTGGGGCCGCTTTGGGACAGCCCTGACAGTGCTGGGGGACGTGAATGGGGACAAGCTGACGGACATAGCCATCGGGGCCCCGGGAGAGCAGGAGAACCAGGGTGCTGTCTACCTGTTCCATGGAACCTCAGGACTGGGCATCAGCCCCTCCCACAGCCAGGTGAGGCCCCATCATGACAATAACCTATTTGCTGATCTGTCCTTTTCTGATTCAATGTTTCCACAGCTGCCAGATTAGTTCTCCCATTACTCCTTTTCAGAACTTTAAAAATAATAGCACACTTCACAGAAACCCCCAAGACTCCTCAATTCTAGGTTAATTCTTACCACAACTACAGGAGGTGCATGGGCCACCAGCATCCACACCGTGCAGACAAGGAGATTAGAGGTAGTAAATGGCAAGTTGCGAGTGTTGGGAGGTAGACATTCCTTTCTTCCGAATCTCAGTTTGGGTAGGGTAACCAAGAGTCCTGGTCTGCCTAAATCTCTCCCGGTTTTAACACAGAACGTCTCTCATCTCAGGAAACCCACACAGTGGGCCACCCTACCAGAACTGCATGCTTCATGGGGCTTGTCATTTGTGCAGTCGCACAGAGCCTCTCTCTCAAGAAATTTAGAAAATTTTCAAATTTATAAGCAAAGTTGAAAGAATTGTCCAGTGAACACCCATATATTTACAACCTAGAATCTACAATTAATATTTTACTAAATTTACTTGATCATATATCCATTTTTTCCCCTACAGTCCATCTTATTTAATGAATGCATTTCAAAGTAAGTTGCAGCATTAGTCTACTTCACCTGTAAATACTTCAGCTTGTATATCATTAACTGGAATTCAATATCTGCTTACTGTGATTTTTAAGATAAAATTTACAAACAGGAAATGCACAAATCTTGAGCCATTCAATGACTTTTGACAAATGCATACACCTGTGTAACCCACCCTCCTATCAAGATACAGAACATCGTCACTGCAGAGAGTTCCCTCCTGCCCCTTCCCAGTCAATTTCTGACTCTACTCCATCCCAATGGGAATAATTGTTCTGATTATTTTCCACCACAGATTAGTTTTGCCCATTCTAGAACTTCATATAAATGAAATAGTACATTATGCAGGCCCCAATATTATTTACAGGCTCTTTCATTGTAGCCAGAGCTAAGAATCACTGCCTTACCCACTTCTTTCTGTGTCATGGAGCTTCTTTCCACAATTGTGTGAATATATAATACTAATGCCTCTTTTCATTTGGTACCTGTTGCTTTTCTGTGTAAATGGGGTTTGAAGGTACTGGTTTTACTTTATTTTTATTACAAAAGGTTTACATGCTTATACAAATTTATAAATCTAAAGTAAACAGTGAAAGCCCTACTTCCTACTCCTATCTGCACCATAACTCACCACACACAAACAAACAAGGATCAGGGAAGATACTTTACATGTCCACACGCACGTACGCATGCATGCCCCATAGGCTTTGGAGTTGAAAACAAATGCAAGAATCATGCTGCCCTATTCTACTGTTCGCATTTTTAACTTGTGTTTTTCTCTATGATTGGAGCAGAGGTGCTCAGTGTTTGGACAAGCAAACAGGCTGTGGATCTCCCAACTACCATATTATACATAATTTCAAAACAAAGCTTCCTCCCAAAAAATACAAATAAATTTCCTTAAAAAAATTTGAGGTACAATGTACATGCAGTAAACACACAAATCTTAAGTGATAAATTTTCACATATCTGTTGAACCCAAGTAAGCACCACCTAGATTAAGATATAGCAGAGTTCCAGCATCCCATGCTTCCTTTCACTTGAGAAAATCACTTAAAAAATTGTGGTAAGATATACATGACATAAAATTCACCATCTTAACCATTTTAAAGTGTACAGTTCAGTGGCATTACGTATATGACAAAAACACTTTAAAATTCTCTTTTTAATTTATTTGGCTGTTACTCGTTCAGTGTTACTTTTGCACATAGATTAGATAATCAAAATCTTTCTTTAAGACTCATAAGGAAAAACAACCATTTCCACACTGTGATTTCCTCTTTATTTCCTCTTTTCTTGAGGAAACCACTTTTAGCTCTTTCAACGATTCACCATACTTCCCAATGACATGATTATTTTATTACTTCTTGATTTTTGTTTTAGCATTTACTTTACACTATGGAAGGTGAGGTCTGAGCTTTTTTCAGACCCCTCTTGCCACATATTCACGTGCCTTCTACCCCTTCCCCACTTCTTATATTGATATAATTTTGGTTAGATCAATATTTGGTGTTTGTGTTAGCATGACCATGTAAATGGGATTCAGCTGAGTCAAGTAGCATACTATGTCACTTCTTTCCTGTAAAACTATTTGTTTTCCCTCAAAAACTTAGGTAATTAATGGCAACTTTGGGTGTCATCTCCAGACTGGTCTAAAGCTGAGTAATTGCCCTAATTCCTTGGGAAGCTGTGGGAGAGGAGACTTGACTGGGGCCGAGACAATCTCTCCTTGGGTTGCCCTTGGCAGCTGAGTTACATGGTTTCTTATTCTTTCCCACTCCCTTTTCCCCTCCCTCTTTTCTACTCTCAGCGGATTGCAGGCTCCCAGATCTCCCCCAGGCTCCAGTATTTTGGTCAGTCTCTGAGTGGGGGCCAGGATCTCACGATGGATGGACTGGTGGACCTGGTCATTGGGGCCCAGGGACATGCACTGCTGCTCAGGTGAGAACCTCTCCTGGAGCACACCAGGTATCTTTGCTTTAAGGAGCAGCTTTGCTGCCTGAACACCCATGATGGCCCTCTGGTCTCCTTACAGGTCCCAGCCTGTGCTGACAGTTGACGTGACCATGGAGTTCACCCCCAGGGAATTGGCCAGGGAGGTGTTTGAGTGTCATGAGCATGTGGTGAAAGGCCAGCCTGCAGGAGAGGCCAGAGTCTGCCTCCGTGTTCACAAGACCACACGGGACCGGCTGCAAGAAGGTGAGGCTGGGGGGCAAGTCTCAACAGGTTTAACGACTGGGGTCATTGATGAGAGGCCCAGCCTGCTCAGTCTTCTTGGCAGTCCGGAGCAAAGTTCTCACAGGTTTCAACAGCCTTCTCCAAGGTTGTCTGGAGAAAGCAGGTGATTCCCTTGCTGGATGGGGATGCCCAGCAAACATTATCAAAGAAGTGAGCATGTGGCACTCCCTGACTCTCTGAGTTCTCCAGATAACCAAGGGCTCCACACCTGTGAATTAATCAGAATTTTTTTTAACTGAGAGATAACTCATTTAAAGGGGAGATTGTGTTGATGAAGCTAAGCACAAATTCATGAAGCATTAAGACATGCATTTTATCACAACTCACTCGACTTCTTCCCTTGTTTCTACTTTTAAAGAGTGGCAATGTGCTTGGGTTTGCAGAATAGCAGTGATGGTAAGAGAGAGAAATAGGGAGATCATAAAATTAGGTTTCTAGTAGTAATCTTACTGGGCTGAGCAGACAACAGTCAGAGTTTGGGGCAGCCAGCATGGCTAGAAAGAAATGAGAGCAAAGTCTTGGAAAGTAGAAGACTGCAGAGAAAGTTCCCCAAGATCTACATAGAAATTCTTCTCAAGTCATTGGCTGATTCTTAAGCCATGTGTGTGCAGGTCAATTTTCCAAGGAACTCAGTAGAAGACAGAAATTAGAGAGCTAAAGAGCTGAGCAGAAATTCAGCAGCTTTCCAGTGCTGGGGAAACAAATTGGGAGAGGCCTTGGCAAACAACTTGTTCTTTCTATTGGGACGATGTCCAAGAGAAACAATAAACAACAGAAATAGACCCACAGGTGATTCAGAAATTAGAGCTATCAGATAGGAATTGAAAACATAACTTTGATTAATATCTTCAAGAAAAAAGAGGAAATTATGGAGAACTTCAGAAAAGACTTGAAATCAAAGCATGTAATTGGAATTCAGAGAGAGAGAGAGAGAGAGAGAGAGAGAGAGAGAGAGAGAGAGAATATGAATAAAAAAGAAGCGACAGTTAAAGAAATAGTGGTGAAGCATTTTCTCAAATTGCTGAAAGACATCAAGATTCTCTACCAAATCAAATCAAAGCAGGGAAAATGCAAAGGAAACCATACCATGGTGCATTAAACGTGTGCACATTATACATTGTACCATACCAAGGCACAGATTGCTGAAGACCAAAGACAAAGACAAAAAGTTAAAAAAAGCCAGAAAAATATACTTAATTTTTGAGTATGTAACAGAATAGCTATAATTTATTGAATGAACACTAATTATGTGGCAAGTACTGTGCTATATGTTTTATAGACCCATTTCATCTTATTTTCACCACTGGGAAGGTAAAATTATTGTCCTCAATTTAAAAATAAGGAGTTGAGATTCAAAGAGGTTGGATAATATGCCCAAAGTCATACACCTGGGGAGCAGAGGGGCTGGGCTGCAGACTCCAGACTGTCTGACTCCAAACCCAGGCTCCTCCCCACTCTGATGCCCCTCCCCACTCAGGAGAGATCCAGAGCATTGTCACCTATGACCTGGCTCTGGACCCAAGTCGCTCACATCCCCGGGCCATCTTTGAGGAGACAAAGAACCGCACATGCAGACGGACACAGATGTTGAGGCTGAAGCAGGAATGTGAGACCCTGAAGCTACAGTTACCGGTGAGCAGTGGGTAACCACACTTCTGGCTCCTCCAAGTGCTGGTGGGAGGGGAGGTGCACCTGGGAAGCTGAGGGAGCCGACCCCCAAACCCCACCTTCTCTCAGGAATGTGTAGAGGACTCCGTGACTCCGATCATCCTGCGTCTCAACTTCTCTCTGGAGGGGCAGCCCTCAACTTCTTTCGGGGGTCTCCGGCCAGTGCTGGCTGTGGATGCTCAGAGACTCTTCACAGCCTCGGTGAGTCCTGGAGTTGGGGCCTGGAAGGGACCAGGGGCGAAGATGGTGGGAGCCCATTTGATTTCATTTCAAAGAATTTTATTTAGATATTTTATTGTATTGTTTCATTTCATATCATTTCATGATTACCTCTCATTTCATTTTGTCATATTTTATTTTTTGCAGTTTCCTTTTGAGAAGAATTGTGGCAATGACAGCATTTGCCAAGATGATCTCAGTGTCACCTTCAGTTTCATGAGGTGAGTTTCTTCCTGTCATTGCCACCCCCAAGGCTCCACCGAGACCCAGTGCTCTGCTCTTCCCCTGGCCTCTGAGGGAGTCTGGCAGGTCAGCTGCTCTGGAGCTGCCCCCTCCACTGTCGTCTCTCTCCAGTGTTCATGCTTCCTTTCCACCAGAGCACGCTCGCACAGGGAAGCCCTCAGCCCCTCACCTGGCTTGTTCCTCCCACAGCCTGAACACTCTGGTGGTGGGCGGTCCCCGGGACTTCAACGTGACACTGACTGTGAGGAACCAGGGCGAGGACTCCTATAGCACCCATCTCACCTTCTTCTACCCACCTGGCTTGTCCTATCGGACGGTGTCAGGGGTCCAGGTAGCCAAACCTTTCTTAGACTCCGTCTGACTTAGCTTTCCTGGTCCCCGGGGCTGGTGGGTGACATCAGCCCCTCTATTTCCCTTACCTTCCAGAACCAGCCCTCATGGCGATCCTGGCATGTGACCTGTGTGTCTGACACATCCACCAAGGGACCCAGGACCTCGCAGAGCAGCAGCTGCAACATAAACCACCCCATCTTCCCAGGCAACTCGGAGGTCAAGCCCTGGGCACACCCACCTTTTTACCTCTGCCTTCTGAGTTGTTGTTGTTGTTGTTCTCCTTCTCCCCCTCCCCCTCCTCCTCCCCCTCCTTCTCCCTTTCCTCCTCCCCTTCCTCCTCCCCCTCCCCTTCCTTCTCCTCCTCCTCCTCCTCTTTCTTTCTTTTTTTTTTTTAAGTTGAGGTTCCTTTTTGGAGAAACAGCTTTACTGAGATATAATTCCTATACTACACAATTCACCCACTTGATGTATGCAATGCAGTGGCCCTTCAGTTGTTCACAGGGTTATTCATCCATCACCAGGATGGATTCTAGAGGATTTTCTCACCCCCATGAGTGACCCCACTCCCCTTAGCCTCCAGCCCAGTCCTCCTGTCTCTCCCAGCCTTGGGCAGCCACCAGCCCAGTTCTGTATCTAGGTTCACCTACTCTGGACATTTCGTATAAATGGAAATGTGTGATGCGTGGTCCTTCCATCACTTGGCATCATGTTTTCAAGGGTCACCCACGTTGCTGCCCATGTCAGTGCTTCACTTCTTTTTATGGCTGAATTATATTCTGTTGTGTGGCAGCATCACATTTCCTTTGTCTGTTCTTCAGTTGATGAACATTTGGGTTGTTTCTTCTCTCCTGTTCTTGGCACTGTCCCTCCTTTCTCCAACTGCAGGTCACCTTTAATGTTACACTAGACGTGGAATCTAATGCTTTCTTTGGAAACAGAGCACTTTTCAAGGCCAATATGACCAGGTAGGCTGTGCCTGGCCTCCCACAAGCATCCTCCCTGTTGAGGCCCCAACCCTCTGCCCAGGGTGGGTCACTGCCCTCTCCCCACTGATTTTCCCTTCAGCTCATTCATTCATTCAACAAACACTGAATGAGCACCTACAACATGCCAGACATTGTGCCCAGTGCTGGTGGGACAGGGTGGACAAGACAGCTGAGGTTGCTGCCCTCACAGAAGTGACAATCTAGCGGCAAGGACAGGCAGGAAAACTGGCGATGACAATACCATATGAAATGAACTATGTCCTGTGTTCTTGGGAGCTTGGTGTTCAGAGAAGATTCCTGAAGGAATGTTTAGGTTGTGAGTTAGCCAAGCAAAGGCATACATGGAGGGTGGGCATGACGACAGAATGAAAGAAGAGCTTACCAAGCAAAGCCCAGAGACTGGGAAGGTCAGCCTGCATTGAAGTGTGGCTTAAACACATAATGTGGGACTTAGGGAGTTGGTTAGACCTTGGCAGTGCCATAAAATGACGGATGTATGCTCCTAGGAAGCTTGAAGTTTAACCTGGGAGTGACATGATCACCATGATCACATTTGCTAGAAAAGCCTCTCTCCAGGAGGGCTAAGGGTGGGATGGGAGCAGCTTGGAATTCAGGGACCAGTAAGAAGAAGGTGCTGCAGATATTGGGTGAGAAGGGAGGGCCCTAGGCAGAGGCAGGGGCAGAGAACAGTGATGTTTGGGATGCAGAGAGAACTGGACTTGGGGTTGGATGGAGGTGGGGGTACAGCAGGGGGAGAAGGAAAAGCCCCTGTTTCCCTTCAGTGAGAACAACGTACCCAGGACCAACAGAATGGAATTCCAGCTGGAGCTGCCTGTGAAATATGCAGTCTATGTGGTGGTCACCAGGTACTGGCTTCTGGGGCCTGACCTGCACCTGTGCCTGCACCCCTGGGCTGGATGCACCCATTGTGTGCCTGTGTGTGTATGTCTGAGGATGCATGTGCATGGGTGCATGCGTGCGCAATGGTGTGTACATGTGTGTGAGGCCCTGACCAGCACACACATCGCTCCTGCCCATCACCCTGCATGCACCCTCTCAGGGCTGCTTTACCCACGTGCCCGGTCACCCCCTCACGCACGCAGCCCGAGACATGCCTCCCAGGACACCTCTGATGTGCTGTCACCTCCTGCCCCTTCTTTCTATCATTAGCCAGGACATCTCCACTAAGTACCTCAACTTCACAGCTTCCGAGAAGACCCGCCATATTATAAAGCATCAATATCAGGTGGGGAGCTGAGGGGCTGGGCAGGGAAATCTGTGGGCCGGGGATGCAGAGACTGATGGAAAACATGTGTCAGTGGCCCAGGGTGTGCCAGGCCCTGTTCCATGCGTGCTCTCACTGTGCACACACACGCACACACACATGCACGTGCATGCAGTCGCCCCTTGATATCCGGGGGGACTGGTTCCCGGACCCCCATCACTGCAATCCACGATGCTCAAGTCCCTTATACACAATGGCGCAGGATCCACATGACACCTACACACACACACACCCGTAGACTTAGAAGCATCTTGAGGTTACTTAGAATCCCTAATGCAATGCACATGTCATGTACGTAGTTGTTATACTGTATTGTTTGGGGACTAAGGACAAGAAAACGTCTGCTCCTGTCAGGCGACCATTGTAGGCCTGACTACATAGCTCACTTTAGCAACAACGGAACAGTTTTTCTGGGCGTTTCTGATCTGGGATTGTTTGACCCGGAGGATGCAGGGCCCGGGATACACAGAGCTGGCTGTCCACACATGTCCACAGTTCACTCATTTCACCTTCATACCCTGCATAAGTTGAAGAAATGAGCTCCGAGAACTTAATAAACACGCTTGGCCTCACCAGGAAGTGGATGAGCTGCTACTGAGGACCAGTCTGTGTGTTTCATCACTGCACTCGCTGAGTCTCAGGCAGCATCACGTGGCAGACAGGGCACTGGGCCGGTGCTGGGCTGTCAGGACGCGGGCTGGTGGAAGCTGCTGGGGGGACAGATGGCCCTGACCCCCCAACACACATGTTACAGTTCAAGAACCTGGGGCAGAGGAGCCTCCCAGTCAGTGTGGTCTTCTGGGTCCCAGTCCAGCTGAACCAGGTGGCCGTGTGGGATGCCCCCCAGGTCACCTTCTCCCAGGTAAGTCCCATGGGGCCTGAGGAGCGGGCCCAGCTCCTGCCTCCAGACCCCTGGTCTTTTCTAAAGCCTCTGATTCTGCTGTTGGATTTTGGAGCCATTTCTGACCCTCGCCTGGACCTAGGACCACCTCATCCTTGGGAGGGGGGACACGACCTGGGATCCCTCATCTGTCTCTCTCGTCACAGTGTCTCCCTTTCCTCAGAACCTCTCCAGTATGTGCCACACAGAGAAGAGGGTCCCCCCCCACTCTGACTTCCTGGCTGAGATTAAGAAGGTCCCAGTGCTGGTAAGAATGAGCCCAAGTCCACTTTGGGGCCACGTACAGACTCAGCATGTCCCCTCTCTGGGGCCCAACACTGTCTCTCCACTGAGTGGGCTGGGTCTACACAGCATTTGCTGCATCCAGCTTTCCTAGTCACCTGTCCCCTCTCCTCCCTTCCACAGAACTGCTCCATTGCTGTCTGTCACAGAATCCAGTGTGACCTCCTGTCCTTTGACAGCCAGGAAGAATTCAATGTCACCCTCACAGGCAACCTCTCATTTGACTGGTATATCAAAGTATGTGGTGCTTTGAAGCTCAGCCAGGCCGGACGTGTTGCTGGGGTGCCAGGGGTGCAGCTCACACCCTCTGTTCCCCACAGAGTCCGCACAGCTACCTCCAGGTTGTGAGCACAGCAGAGATCTTGTTCGATGAGGTGGCGTTTACCCTGCTTCCAGGACAGGGGGCATTTGTGAGGGCCCAGGTATGTGTCCTGGGCTCAGAGGGACTATTGGAAGGAGGACAGGAGGCTGGGGTTGTGGAGATCTGGGGGGTGGGGGAAGACCGCGGCGGGGAGAGACAGAGGGAGAGAGAGGTTGAGAGAAAGGTGAGGAGGAGGAGGGACGAGGGAGGGCTGGGGTTGGGGAGCATAGGAAGGGCTTATTTCCTGGGTTCGGGATGTGCACAAGAGTCTGTCTCCCCTGACGCACCCTCTCCCTGCCCCAGACGGAGACCAAAGTGGAGCCACATGAAGTGCACAACCCCATACCCCTCATTGTGGGCAGCTCGGTGGGGGGGTTGGTGCTCCTGGCTCTCATCACCGCTGGCCTGTACAAGGTATGTCCTTGTGGCCCTGTCCTTCTGCTCCTGTCTGTCTTCCTTAATGTGTTTGGCTCCCAGCAGCCCTGCTGGCTGTATGACCTTTGGCAAGTCACAAGTGTCAGCTTCATCAGCATTAAGTAAGAATATAAATGCCCATCCTGCAAAGGTGACGGAGTTGCGATGTGGGAGCACTCACAGTACCCTGGGTACAGAGTGACCTCACGTAAGGAGTAGTGTCCTGCTCCTCCTGATATTTTCTCTTTCTCCCTTTTTTTGTCTTTCCAGCCCCCATGTTGATGCCATCTCTCTCCCAGTCCCACTTTTCCCAGGTCCCTTTTATACTCTCCGCTTTGTGCTTCTCGGTCCCTCTGTGTCCCCTCCTGGTCTGCGTGACCCTCCCCAAGTGCCCTGGCTTCAGGGGCCCTTACTCCTCTGTCTCTGCCCCACAGCTCGGTTTCTTCAAGCGGCAGTACAAAGACATGATGGGCGAAGCTGGTCCTGAAGCTGCCCCGCCCCAGTAGCAGCTCTGTGTCCACTGAGTGGCCTCCTCTGAAGCAGCCAGGACTTGAGTTAGACCAACATGCAGGCCGCTGGACAGACACGTCCCGCAGGAGGCTGGGCAGTGACATCACATTCAGGAAAGACCTGCTTGGGTTTCTGTTTCCATCCGTGTGTGTGCGTGCGTGTGTACGCATGTGTGTGTGTGGGCTACGTGTGTGGCGCCAATATCTCTTGTGTGGGGAGGTACGTTCAGCACAACCACTCAGGCACAAAGGGATTGCTGGGGCCTCCGGGCAGAGGCGCTGGCAGCTCCTGTGGGTGAACTCAATGGGAGAGCATTAGATCCCCTCCCTGCAGAAGGAAGTGCGACCTCCCTCTGTGGGTCAGCATGTGGCCCGCAGGGGCCTGGCAGCTGGACAACACCCCACAGAGAAGCCATGCTAGAACCTGGGTCTGATCCACTGGCGGAGCCTGTCCCAACCCTAGAACTAAATGTGTCCAGTGAGCAATGACATGCTGCCTTCTGTCCATTTATTTATTAATGTTTCTTTCATGTTTTTGAATTGATTAACCGGTCCATAGTACAGAAATCAGAAGATGTGCAGGATGTGGGGTGAAAAGGGTTCCCCCTAGCCATTCAAGTCAAGGCTACGTGTTTTGGGGTCTCCTTCACAAAGACTCTAGATATGCACGTACACACACACACACACACACACACATGTGCACACACACACACGCTTTTTACACAGATGATAGCATGCGTTACTTATATTGCTCTGCATCTTGTTTTTTCCATTACTGTAGCTCAGACATTGTTTCGTGTAAGACATAAGGTATCCCTTCATTCTTTTATACAGCTCCATGGTAGTCCATCATGTGGGTGAATCACAATGTATGTAACCAGTATCCTTTTGATATGTTATTTCCAATCTCTTGTCATTAAAACAGTGGTGATATAATAGTGAGTATGTCATTTTGCATATGTGTAAGGGTAGTTTATAGGATATATTCCCAGAAGTTTGGGTTCTCCCAGAAGCAAACCCAAGATAAGAATTTGAATGAAAGAAGTTTAATTAAGAGTGGCCCTAAGAAATACCAATAGATGGGCCGGCCGAGTGGCGCATTGGTTAAGAGCTGGCTTGAGATGCCAGAGGGCCCCGGTTCAGATCCCACATATGAGGGCCAGTGACACTGCCCTCTACAGCTAAGATGCTGAACAACAACTCAACCTGGAGCTGGGCTGCCTTGAGTCACCGGTGACGGCAGGTGGATTGCCATGGGCTACCGTGTATAGCCAGCAGCCAGCGTGAGCGGCCAGCAGCCGCAGTGAGCGGCCGTCCAGAAGCCGGTGACTGATCTGCCTCGCCCAGGAAGAGCGCAATGATGGTGCCAACTTGGGCCAGTGAAGCAACGTCCTCCACAATAGACTGAAGAACAAAATGACAGCAACTTGTCTGTTCCCCTTCCCCCAATTCCCCAATTAAAAAAAAAAAAAAGAAATACCAATAGGGTGAGACATGAACTGGGGAAGGGGAGAAGGCAGCCAGGAAAGGGTATGTTATCAAAAGAGGCACCTCTGTGAGCCCTGGAGCAAAACCCCACTGGGGACTTGTGGTAGCAAGGACGCCCACCTGAGGAGTGTCCACACACTGGCTCCATAGTTACAGGCTGAGGGCTGCTTTTTTTGCGGGGTGCGGGGGTGGTAATTCCCTGGCACTTCTGTCCGGCTTTGAATGTGGGCACAAAGGGTTCTGGTGGCCAGAGAAAAGGATACATGTGCTGCTAGTTGGAAGTCTTATGGGTGAGCACAGCCCCTGGACAGGCCCACAGGGACCCAGGCAGGGTACAGAGAGCCCTGTTACCGAGGGTGTGTGATGGCGAGGTTCTGACAGCTGTATCTAGGCAGCCCCCCTCCTGGGGGAGGACCCCTTGTGCCCATACCCCATGCGTTTGTCAACTCAGTCCCATGACGCTGGCCTGAGCGTGCGTCCGGTCTCACGCTCACCAGCCCTGCGACGTGGCTGCCACTTGCTCTTTAAGAGTTTCTGAATTTCACTTATGAGGAAACTGAGGCTGAGATATCAGACCAATGGCATGAGGTCACACAGATGAAGAGGGAATGGAGCTGGGATTCAAACCGGGCTCTGTCTGGCTCCAAAGCTTTTCTCTCTCTCTTTTTTTTTTTTTTAAGATTTTTATTGAGTAATTGGGGGAGGGGAACAGCACTGGGTAATCAGGGGAAGGGGAATAGATAAGTTGCTGTCATTTTGTTCTTCAGTCTAG